CTTCGGTTGGATTCTTAGGCATCTGGCCCACCTGTTCTCCCATGAGCCGATGGCAGCGTAGGTGGCTCTCTGCCCCCTGCATCGTGTCCTCACAACAAGGCTGTGACCCTGGTCAGGGTGGGAGAGGACCGCTGGTCCGCAGCCACTCATTCTACCACGTGCCTGGTGTCGCTCACCTTACATCTCGAGGGCAATGGCCAATTTGAACCAGGCAGCCGGTTAGAAAAAGAGCTGAAGGGGCTGGATGCTCCTTGGAGGACAAAGGTGAGAAGAGCATAGAAGGCTGGAGAGCAGCCAGATCAATGAGCACAGGGCTAAATTCAGGCAGGTGCCGACTTACCAGATGCCTGTTAAGCCACATCGAACCTGAAGGGGCTGGCCAGAAGGGTGCTTTGCAAGGAATTCAAGGAAGGCTCTCTACACAAGCGGCTTGCAGTCTAAATGCAGACAGGAGGCAGACAGCAGACGCAAAGGAGGGAAATGGACACAATTCTTCTAGCTGCACAGTTTTGGGGTTAGTTATGTTGCGATAATGAGCGAAATTGCAGTAGACATATTGTTCTTGTCTCACTGCATGTTAACAATCCTGCTGTGAGGCTAGAACCAGTTAGTTTGCAAGCATTTGAAATTCCAGAAAATTAAAGCATAACACAAACAAAACAATACATAACACAACACAGCCACAACACAACAAAACCATTTTTGCTTTTAAGATCCTTACAGAGTTTTGGTTGATTCCTGTGTTTCTGGGCTTTGGAAATGCAGGGAACAATATGCAATCTAGACGATGCAGGAGGTGGACGTTTTATGTGGTGTGTATGTGTCAACATATGCTCAACAGTTGAGATTCGACAAGAGCTTGAATGGACGGCGAGCAACTACATGGAACACCTTTCCCTTTCAAATCACTGCCACCGTCCTTCACGAGGCAGTGTTTACTACCTCAGACACACTCAGTTCGGAATCGTCTCCCTCAGAATCTGCCCCCAAACGCTGCAGATTCTAGCCAGCCCTGCCTGTTTCCCACAAAGCTTGCTTCTCTCTCCCCGATGCCTTGCACTGCTGTCCTCCCCGCCAGCATTCCATGGGCTTTTATCCTGCCACACTGCCAAGACTTCTGCTTCTGGACTCCTTGTAGGATTCTGTCTCCCTCCCTGAGAGGACAGAGGTGCTCTCGGCTGCGGTGGCGAGGCCCCCAGGCGGCTGGTGCTGGGGATGGCAACACCTGTGCTGTGTGGGGTTGCTCAGGATTTCATGGACCCCTCAACAACCCTGGGGCTGCCCCAACTGCTCATGGGCGAAGCGGCAGGGCACCCCCTGGATCTGGATGCTTCGGCCGGGCAAGAGGAGAGGGATCCGAAGATGGAGGCTTTGAATCGGTCCCCTTGTCATGCTTCAATGACCGCCTGCTGAGATTAGGCAGACAGTGACGTTTCCCCTCTGGGGGCAGGAGGGCAATATGGTGATTCATCCCAGAGACTGATGGGTACAGACGGGTTCCAGATGGGTTCCAGACGGCTCCTGCCCAATCGGTGTGAGGAGAGGGGATGTGAGGCAGGAACCTACCCAGCTGGGTGATCTCCACTCCCTGGTTCTGCAGAGCCAAATTCTTCAAGTCCTGAAAGATACCAAAAACAGAGAGCTGGATGCAGTATCAAGAGGGGGTGCTTGGATGATCTGAGACGGGCTGGAAGGAGGCAGGAGGAGGGTGAGTCCCACCCGGTTGGATTTCTCAGCTGGCGATGCATCTGCTGCATTGCTGCGACCCAGGAGAAGTGACACACCGGGGCAGTCAAGAAGCAAGGCAAGGTGCTTCTACCCACCCCAGGGGAAGTCGCTTCGCATCAGAGAGAATACCTTCGTCATGCACCCTTACAGTGCAAGCAACTGCACCCTGGGGCTCACCTGGGCACGTGGTCCATCTGGGTCGCGGCAGGTTGCGAAGATCCACTGTGGCCGGTTGCTTGCCGCCACCAACTGCTTGACCAGCTCCAAGCCGATGCCCCGGTTGGATCCGGTTACCAGCACGCTGCGGGCCATTGGCACGTCCATCTCTTCTGCTAGCCTGTGCCTCACTGAGAAAGCTCTGTGCCAGCCGCACATAGACGTGCTTTGTCCCTGTCCTTGAACAGGTTGCATAAGCCGCTTGCCTTCTATGACAGCTGAGCTTCTATTGGGCAATAATTCATTCCTGTGCAGCCAGTTGAGCCCAAACTAACATGGGGAAGAAAAGGATCACTGTGGGATGCCTGCAGTCAGATAGTCTGGGATGGCTAACCATGGAATTGTCTGATATAGCAGAAGTGCTTCCTTGCTGGATGATCCACTTTTTAATCATGTTTTGGGAGGGTGTGCATATGGTTGAACACAGCAAAATTTGTCTCTAATCCACACACCGCAGCAACTCTGCATTTTTCATATTTCAGCTGCAGACAGTGGTCCACAGCCTCCTTGTGGATTTGCTGAAAGGCTCCTTACTTCTCCCTCCTCCTCTCTTTCAGTTTCTCCCCAACACTTGTAAAAATGTGAAAGGTGCATAAAACGCTGACTGCACAGATACCTTTTGGCTCATCCATCATTATTTATTTTTTGAGAACATTCCAAAGCAAGTATCAATCTAGAGCAAATTTTCAAACTCTGTTAAAACGTAAGGTGTGGGGAGACACCTCAGGCCTGGATGTCTCCAGATGGGCCTTCTTCTGCCCAACCATGAATACTTTGCTGGGTTCCCAGTTTCTGTGAAGATTTTCCCCATCTGAAAAGGTTTAAATACCTCTCCTAAAGTTTGTTTACTGAAGATAAAGCTTTCCGGTAGTTTTGTATTTCTGTCCCACCACTTTTGCCTATGTTTCTGCCCACTTTGCCTCCAGCCCCACCCACTACTGAGATCTTCTTGGAATTGAGCTCACCCCCAGCTCAAAGTGGTTCTCCTACACTGCTTTCACGCCCTGCCCTGGGCTCCATGTGCCTCCGCTGCAGATTCTGGAGAAAGGGAAGACATAAGCAAGCATCGCATGCCCCGTTTCCCCTCTGGTGTTTACACAGCCATCTGCAGAGCGCCCTTCCTGCCCCATCCCTCTTTTCCAATCTCTTACCCCCATTGGGCTTCATTAGGCTGAGCGTGCCAGATCTGGACACGCTCCAATGGAGCCAAGCTCAGGGAACCAAGGATCACTTTGGATGCCAGGAAGTACTTCCTGATAGTTAGGACTCTGACGGTGTGGAACGGGCTTCCACGGGAGGTGGTTAAGGCCCCACCAGTGCGGGTGTTCAAGGATAGGCTAGACATCCACATGGTGGGCATGTCGTGAGTGGAGCCAGCTAGAGCCGGGGGTCACTCTACATGGCCCGGGAGGCCCCTTCTGACTTGCTCTGTTTCTATGTTTCTCACTTATTTTTTCACAAGGCTGTGTATAGGCTATGTCTCCTTTCAGTGTTGTTCCAGCACTGAGATCCAAGCAACAAGCACTATGGTATTTCTTTTCCTGCTTTTCCACTAGATGACTAGAGGGCACTGTGACATAGCCGAATAGCGCAAATCTGTTCAGCTGTTCAATCACATCCTACTATGAGCGATCCTACGGGCCAAATCTCACCACATTTTCAATCCAGTGCCACCTCTTTCTGCTGAACGATGCTCTGGCCAGCATCCTCTTTGATGGAGTCTAACCATCTTGCTCTTTGGAGACCTGGCTTTCTCTTGCCCCTGAGCATTCCAAGCATTGCATCTTTTTGTAATGAGCTTCATTGCATAATGCGGCCAAAATACATGAGTCCCAGCCTTGATATCTTGCTGACCAGGGACACATCTGGTTTAATATGCTCCAGCACCTCCTGGTGTTCATGGAATGTGTGGGAGCCTCCACCAACACCACAGTTCAGATGAGTCAATTTTCCTCTTGTCTAACTTTTTCATTGTCCAACTTTCACAGCCATAGGTTGCCATAGGAAACATGATCACTCGGACCAATCTGCACTTGGTTGCCAAGCTGATGCCCTTGTTTTTCCACACTCGATTCTTGCTTGTCATTGCCATACAACCTAGTGAGATTCGTCGATTTATTCTTGGACTCCATTAACCGCAGCGAGTAATCAGTGATCCCAGGAAAGTGAATTCTTCTGCCTGAACAGATGTGTTGGCATCCCCTGGTCTTTTACTGCTTTCCACAACTTGCCATGATCAACACAGTCAAAGGCTTTCTTTGTAGTCAATAAAGCACAAGTAAATGTTCTTTGGATATTCTTGAGATTTCTCCATAATCCAGTACAAATTTCCAGTACGGTCACAAGTGCCCCAGCCTCTTTGGAAGCCTGCTTGGACTTCAGGTAGTTCCCTTTCTATGACAGATGCCAGGCGTCGTCATATAATTTTAAGGAGAATTTTGCTAGCATGAGAGATGAGGGCAATTGTGCAGTAGTTAGAACAGTCCTTCGAGTCGACCTTTTTTTGGCATGGGAATGAAGATCGAGTGCTTCCAGTTCTCTGACCGTGTGCTAGCTTCCCAGATTTTCTGGCACAAGGCTGCCATGGTTCTGATTGGTACCTGCTTCAGCAACTCTGCAGGGATGTAGTCCATGCCTGGTGTTTTGCTGCTTGGCAGCTGACTTATTGCCTATGCTACTTCTTCCTCAAGAATGGCTGGACCTATTTCTATTTCGGATTCCTTTTCTGCATTATCCTAACATGGTTCAGTCCCACTGCTTTTGGTGTATAGCTCTTCAGTGCATTCCCGCCATCTGTTCTTGATGTTTTGTTGATCAGGCGGTTCTTTGCCTTCTTCATTTTTTATGGTTACTTTGTGTGCTCTAAAAGCTGTTTGAATTCGTTTAACTTGTGCATTTGTGTTCCTGGTATAACCGTTCTTACAGTCCTCTTCTAGCTGTGCACATTTCCGATCCCAGTAAGTTTCATTGTCTTTCCTGGCTGCCCTCTGGAAATCTGCATTTAGTTTCTGTGCTTTCTCCCGATCACCTGCTGCTTTGGCTATTTTCCTTTGGTCAGCCATTCTGATTGTTTCATCTGAAAGCCACCTGGATCTTGTCTGCGGCTTCTTATGTTTAACAGAGGCTTCAATAATGTTCGATTGAATGTCCTGCCATAGTTTGTCAGGCAACTTTTCAATGCTTCTAACAGTTGAAGCCTGTTCTTTATCTCAACCGCATACGTGGATGAGATTTTGGTGGTGTCAGACTTCTTGGGTGTTGCTTTCCTTTTAGTGTTACGTAATTTCACTTTGACTTTGGCCACCAATAATTCATGTGGATGATTCACACCACAGATCGAACTCCTCCAATGATGACTGCAAAGGACATACTCTATTTGATTTCTCTATAGCCTGTTTGGTGACGTCCACGTGTCCAGGCAACATTTGTGCTGTTTGAAGCAGGTGTTCATAATTCAAAAATAATTTTCATGGCAGAATTGTATCAATCATCTCCTGCATCATTTCTGTCCCCTAGTTCTAATCACCACTGATGCCTGCCTCTGCTCGAGTGCCAACTTTTGCATTGAAGTTGCCCATTATGGAAACAATGTCTTGTCCTGGCACTTGTTCTAGGGCTTTTTGGATGCTGGCATTAAAACCCTCTATTTCTAGTTCTGTTCTAGTTCTGTTCTAGTTCTGATGTTGGAGCATAGACTTGAACAACTGTGATATTAAGAGGCTTAGCTGGAATTTGAACAGTATACTGTTGCTTTCTGTTGAAAAGCTTACCAGAGCTTGGGCCAGTTTCTTACTTGCAAGGAAGACCACTCCATTCCTTGTCATGGTTTCATGTCCTGAGTAATAGATGGTGAAGTCCTCTGAAACCACATGAGTGAGGGTGTTCAAGAATAGGCTGGACATGCACACTGTAGGCATGCCATGAGTGGTGCTGGCTGGAGCAGGGGTCAGACTAGATGGCCCAGAAGACCCCTTCTGACTTGCTCTGTTTCTAAATTTCTATGTATATTACCATGGGGAAGTGCCAGATGCCTGGTGAAGAACTGATGTTGTCCTTATCTTCAAGAAAGGTAAAAAAGACAAACCTGGGAACTACAGACCAGTCAGTCTAACTTCAGTCCCTGGGAAAGTTCTAGAGTAAATCATTAAAAAAGCAGTCTGTACATACCTTGAAGAAAATGTAGTGATAAACCGAGACCAACTCGGAAATCTTAAGGAAAAGATACTTAAGATAGAGAATACTTGGTTCAACGGCACTGAAAAAGAAAAAAGACCGTGGAGTTGGCGTAGGCAACAAGCTAAACATGAGCCAGCAGTGTGATACAGCTGCAAAAAAGGCAAACACTCTTTTGGGATGCACAGATGCATAGATCGAGGCATCACATCCAGAAAAAGAACAGTGCCCATTCTCCTCTACTCTGCACTAGTCAGACCTCACCTGGAATATGGCATTCTGTTTTGGGCACCCAGGTTTCAAAGGGATGCTGATAATCTGGAGAGGGTTCAGAGAAGGGCAACTAAGACGCCACATGGCCTGAAAATAAGTCTTATGAGAGGCTGAAAGAACGGGGCCTGTCCAGCCTTGAAAGAAGACGACTATGAGGTGACAGTGATAGCACTCCACCGGTACCTCAAAGCCTGTCACAAAGAGGAAGGAAAAGACCTATCCTCACTCAGCCCAGATTGTGGGACATATAACAACGGGCTTCAGCTGCCGTACGCCAGGTGCAGGCTAGACACAAGGAAAGATTTCCTGACTGTGAGAGCAGTAGGACAGTGCAACCAGCTGCCGAGAGAGGTTGAGTGCTCTTCCACACCGGACGCGTTTAAGAAGCAATCGGGCAGTTCTCTGATTGGGATGGTAGAACTGGCATCCTGCACTAGCAGGGGCTTGGATCCAATGGCCTTTCTGGCCCTTTCTGACCTGGCTGTTCTGTGAACCTGTGTCAACAGTAAAGAGATTGATTCAGCTGCTTTCCTCATTCAGCAACAACCGGAGGAAACATGACCCCGAGGAAAAAGCAATAGCAACTCAAATGTGACTTCAATGAGACGAGTGAAGAAGGTTTCCTACCCAGTCTGCTCCGCTTTCTCTACAACCATTTCCATTCTTTAAAAGGGCTTCCTGAGTCCCCATAAAGTGCCACACACCTCTGGACATTTCGGTCAGGCTGCCTTCCCTCTTTTCCAGGAGGGTTGGAGGAGGGTTCTTCTTGAATAAATTCTGCTTCACAAAATAAGTAGGTTTGCCTGTTTATAGGAAGGCTCCTCTCCCTTTCTGGTACTGTGTGGGGCTCTCAAAGCAGCTTTCAAGTATAACAAAAGATGCCAACCCAAAGGATCACCATCACTTCAAGGCAACCTTCGAAACACCCAAACAGCAGTATGACAACAGTCAGCTCTGGAGGCCAAGTGCACATTCAAGAAAAACTGTTGCAATAGTGTTCCTGGAGTGGCGGCAAAGCACCTTTCTGCAGAAGAGATTTTGGGTCAGTTTTTGGCATCTCCCATTGGGGACCGAAGAGAGAACTGGTGATTCTGTGGAGGATTCCCCGGATTAACCTAAGTTGTGACCAACTATAACCAAGGGGTTGTGCCAAGCAGGAGGAGGAAGAGGAGGAGAACCCAAGCAGTCTGCCATTCTAGACAGTTGCTGCCAGTCAGTGTAGATGACACTGTGCTAGATAGATCACTGTCCCACTCCCTATGTTTCCATGAAGCGGCTAAGTGCTTTTCTGCTCTCATCAATCCCTACTTATGATCGGTTGCGGGATACTTAACAGGATTTTCCAATTTAGCTATTGTGTTGAACTGGCACTTTGGAGTAGGTTTTGGGGTGGTTTGCTTTGGAGCAAAGAGTGCGCAACATCAAATTGTGGATAGGAAAGCAGGATTTTTTCTTGCCGACTTGCAGTATTAGGCTATGTCACAGTGCCTCCTAGAGATTATGTAGTGGGAAAGCAGTACTGGATTGCTTGGTGCTCAGACCTCAATGCTGCAACAACGCAGAAAGGAGATGTAGGTTCTTGTATGTTTGGGAAGGATAACACACAGCAAAACAAGAAACCATCAGCATGAACAAGATGGTTTCAAGTAAAGGCATTCTGAGTAAGTTTTTACAGAAAGAAGACATTCCATGCATCCTTGAAGTTTCCTGGGTGACTGGGAGAGGAGGAAAAGGATTATGGAAGCTGTTTAGGGATAAAGGTAGATACATGTATGATAAATACATCAAATTCTGACAGGGGAGGAAGTGTACGGAATGTTGATACATGTTTCTGGTGTTACCATCCAGTCGCCCAAAGGTAAAAGCAGAAATGCTTGGACTAGCTCTTTGCTTCTGGGTGTGATTCCAACGCAGAAACCCAGTGAAAAACTATGCAAAAATAGGCCAAGAAATCTAACAAGTTAGACGGCAGTTATATGTTTGCTTAGACCAAAAAAAGTCCTAGCATGCCCCATCCACCATTTCTTTGGCAGGCTACCTAGATTACACAACGGGGGAAGAGATTAAGTTATTTAGTGAGAGATGAAAAGCAAATTATTGGCTTGTTGCTTTAGTTGCAACAAAATGTGGCTTAACAGGCATCCGGTAAGTTGGCACCCTGTCATGACCTTTGCTGCCTTCTCTTTGCTGCTGCAGACACTTCCCAGCCAGCCAGCGTCCAGGCTGCTGCAGCCAG